GAAAAAAAAAAAAAAAAAGATGATTCTTGAAGTGATTTGGTTAAATGGGCAACTAAAACCCCTGAAAAAAAAAGTGTTCTTTAGAGTCACTTGTCCTGCAGCCTACAAGTCAATGACTGCCAACTAGTAAGTGTATGCTAAACAGTAAACATTTTAATAAAGGAGGGAAACTACATTGGCCTTACAGATGACACCATAAAACAGTCCATACATATGTACACCTGACACAAAACTCCAGTAGAAGTGGGGCATTAATCCACCAGCAAGGGTGTGATCTCTTTTCCCACACCACTTGCTTTCCCGTTCCCACAGTTCATATTTCACCACCACATGTCAGAGACTTAGTTTTGCTGCCTTGTGTTGCTCCATTTAACAAAAGGCCTCATCTCAAAGTAGCCTGCTGCAGCTCCACCTGATCATGTGTAGTGATGGTAGGAGTAGATACGATAAAGAGGAATATATTAAAAAAAAAAAAGTGGTAATGGGGACGTTATATGGCCACGTATTGAATGAGTTATATAGAAATATATCTGATAGCTGCATTCACAGAAGATAACAGCAGCAATGGGCCAAAGTTAAGCTTGTGTTCCCCTGGGTGCTCTGCCTTTTGCAAGAAAACTTGTGACCCAAGCAGAAGACGGGATTCAGGGAGTCCTACTTATTTGGTCACAGACTGTCTTAGCCCAAGGCTATTGTACGAATGCTATGACTTCACCAGGCCAGCACTTTGAATCTTGGATTTTAATATTGATGTTCTAAACTTCACTTGAATGGTAATCTTGCTTTCAATGTAGTTTCGGCATCATCTGTGGGAGGTTTAGACCTCATTAGGAAGAGCTGGAGCATAACGGATAAATGGGATAGTGTCTTACCTCACCTCTCAAAAATGCTCACCTAACTGCCGTCCGAGATCACTGAACCAGGGAGAGGTGCCCATTTGCTGTGACGCAGATCAGCCTGGCAGCTTCCAAACCACGGATGTGTGCATGCCTCCGTGACTGAAATGGGCTCTTCCTGCCCTTTGCCATTCAGTTAAATGAGTTCAAGAGCCCTTATAATGAACAGAGCAGCCACAAATCAGGTTCAAGTATGGGAGCAAATAGAGGTGTTTCCAAGTAAGGAGGATCTTATCCCAGACCAGATAGAACATTTACACCAACAACAGGGCAGGGCTGGCCATGACAGGTTGCCATAGTAGGTGGTCATTTTCACGGCTACTTTGACAGTAAGACAATCTGGTGTGACATCTCTCAGCAGGCTTACACCTGAGTAGTCACACTGTCAGCCAAGTCCCATCTCCATGCTTGAGCTGGGAGCACCATTAAAATGGTTTGAAGAGCACATTAGGAGATTTATGGAGACAGCCTGGGCTATTCTATTGCACACATATCCCTTGCTATATCCTAGCAGGTCAGTGTTTTCCTGGGGATGTTCAAAGCTGAGTATGTGGCAGTCCTCAGGGCTCATGTCAGAATTATGTACTATGCCTCAAAATGGAATGTATCACACTCCTTAAGCCATCCAAATCTTCCAGTTGCGTTGTTGTAACTGCCTTCTAACAGAGTTGCTGAATGCTGCCTGATAAACTTGAAGGGACGAGGCTTCTGAAAGACTTGACTTCACTTGGCCTGGCAGGAAACCCTGCTATTTGTTTAATCAGCTAGCCAAACAACCTCCAGCACCTGCTCACTTAGTGGTAGAGGCCAAGCAGCAAACATTTCACTAGATAAAAGTTTCCACCAAACGTTTGCTGATAGGTGGGACATCCATCAACAGGGCCCTTCTCAGAGCCCCTGAGAGCTGTTTGTGGTGGCTGAACCGGACATAGAGTCAAACACAGTCAAGCCGGTTGCTTCCACAGGGCACGAGCACGTAAGTACAGTAACTTGGGCTGAATATTTGGTTTTGGCTCTCCCATGTTTTTATGTGTTTTATCAAGAGATGGTGAATTGCCAAAGGTTTGGCACCTCGTAAAAGCAGTTGGCCTGCCAGAGCCATGGAAAACCCAATGCTCAGAAGCAAGCTGCAAGCCCATGCTCTTCTTTTCTCTGTGTTTCAAGATCACCAAGGGATATATTCTTTGACACTGTTGCCGGATGATGAGGCATGCTCTGCATGCTGAGCAAGCTGGATTTTGCTGAGGTTGTGGTTCCTCTGATCAAATTTTAGCACTAGCTGTAGCTGCATAAATCAAGAGAAGAGCTGTGTTCCTGGACCTGCTGCTGCTTGTCATACACTGGTACATTGTTCTTCAGAGGTGGGATCCACTGTGCTTGCTGCTTGCCAGCAGAAAATTAAGCATCTTAAATTAGGCTGACTAAAAAGTAAGCAGTGGAACACCAGCCATCCTTATATCATTCTCCAGACAAAGGAGAGAGTCCTGCACTGCCACAGCATGATTTATCCTGACCTGAAAAAAAGTAAGTCAGGGAGTTGAATCTCTTTCTGGACATGCCCTATTCTCTCTGTTGACTATTGAGGGAGGTGAGATACCTCCCTGGGTGAGACTTTGGAGCCAATGCTTAGGTCTCTGCTGTGAGATGAATCCCACCATTGGCTAAGAAGGTAGGCTTGGTCTCCAGGTGAGTGATTGGAGTTACCTCCAAGGGTGGGTGGTTTGAGGCACACGTGGAGAGCAAAGCAATTGCGTGGGATGTACAAATGCACAGCCTTCTGCAGGGCTGCATGCTGCTTCACAGCTCTCCCCCAATTCCTCCCTAAGACTTCCCACTAATCCACCTCCAACACTTCTTTGGCTTGAGTAGCATCTGCTCGGAAAATGTCTTTCACTGCTGGAGACACTACCCTGAATGCTGTTGTGACTGACAATGTATACGTACCGTAGTAAGGAGCATGTTTAGCTTAAGGAGAAGGACAAGCCAAAGCAGTGACAAGAAGATGCCACCCTCACAACGCGTATTTTTATAGCCCACAACAAAAACATATCACCCTGGGCAGCACCTGACATCTGAGCCCAGACAGCATAAGAAAGTGTAACTGCAGATGTGGCTTTTCTGCCTTGCCTCAATCTGTCAGTGCACAGAAAAAATCCTTGAAACAAATTAGTCCGTTGGACTTTCGCTCCCAATAACAATGCCACTGGCATCCAACTGACTATATTTAAATGTCTCTGTTGTGGAGCAACCCAAGTATGACGTTTTTTGTTTATTCAAACTTCTTCCCTGATAAATTTTGCAGTGTCAGTGAGTGTAAGTGGACGTGTATGACAAATGCTCGCTCATACTTGCCATTTGCTGCTCTACCATAGTGCATTGCCCTCTTTTCTGGTGTTGGAGTCAAAGCTTATCATCTGCATGTGCTATTGACTGAGTATTGAGCCTTGTGGGCAAGCCTGGGGCTGCTTCTCTGGTGCGACAGTGCAGGGAACAGAGCTGCGACATGGCTGGCAGCACCTGTGAACAACTGGACCACGGCAGCCCAAAGGTTCATGTTGCAGCCTGTGTCATCACGTAAGAAAACAGAAATTTGGAGGAACGGGTTCACAGGTGAAGTAATGCCATTTTGCATAAAAAAATCCCATTTTTCTTTTAAAAAACTGCTCAAGTACAGCATTTTTTCCTCTTTCTGTCTTACACCTGCTATTTAGTCAAAAATCTCAATAATTTTCATACAAAGAGATGCTGATCTGAATAAACCCTTGATTATTGTGGATTGAAACTGCCAACAAACAAGAGGCATGGTGAGTAACGAATTTAAAACAAACAAAACCAACAAAAATAGTTTTACTTGGCTTTCTGCACGACAGAGACATTTAAGCATAGTCAGCAGAACACCAGTAACCTGGTCATTTGAAAGCAAAACCCCAAGAAAAAGAAAGCTGAACAGAAGCCAATGGGAACTGAAGACTGGAGAGTGAAGGAGCAGGTAATAGGGTTTCCTCTTGCCTAAATTGGAAGGCTAGCCAGAAAAGTCATGAGCAAGAAGCTGTTCACCCCTTGTATATTGTTTTGCTACCCTGATTTATTTAATCTGGCAGTCGATCAACATGTATCACATGACTGCTGTGTTCTGAAGTCTTATTTAGTGTTTTTGCTGTATGCCTACCTGTAATTTTTGCTGTGACATAACAGGGACTGACTGGGTGCCTACTGGAAGAGAAAAACCTACCTTGATCCCAAACCGTTCTCGCAGACAAAGCTTGCGCAAGCCGAGAGGCCATATACTCATGAGGAGTCTCCACCAGTGCTAGGAATGGCCTTACTGATGTTCTTCCCATTCGTCTTCCTGCCCTCAGAGTCTCATGGCGTATCTGGGCCAGCACAGCGATCTCCAGCTGTCTTGTAAAATACGAGCCTGCCTATTAGAAACGCTGAAGACACTCTCATTGCCTGCATGAAAGCGGTGGGCAAGGGATATCAGGCAACACGGCCATGCAGCACGGGGTGGCAAGGCTAGTGCCTGTATTTGTATGTGCCCAGCTCTCCTTGCTCCTAAGTGGAGCTGGGAATGGGAGGTTTACAAGGAGGGGAGCAGGAGCAGCGCTGAAGAAATGACATTCCCGAGCCAGGAGCCATCAGCACAGACGGACCCCTGCTTGGCGCAGGAGAAAAACAAAACAGCCCACAAGGGCCTTGTTGCGTGAAGGAAGTATTATTTAACGTGCATTGTGTTGGGAAACGAAAACAAGGGGCCTGGTCCCGGGCCAGCTCCGTTAACCTCTTTTTTTTTTCTTTTTTTTAAATGTATTTTTCCTTTTCTTTGGGGCAATTGTTCTAGCGCAGCCCTCCTTGCTTTGTTCGGTGTTTTCGGCGCGGACAATTGCCCACGGTAATTCCTCAGCGCCGCTTCCTGTGTTTTGGCACACGGGCTGCCCGAGCACCAGGCCGGGCTTCCTGCGGCAGCGCCGCGAGCGGGGCCCGGCGCAGCCGCGCGCATGGAGCGAAAAGGAAAAAAATAAAAGGGGGGGGAGAAAAAAAATTCCAATCGCATTCTTTCGGGGAGGTAAACAAGGTCAGGCAGCGCGGCGAGATCCTGTTTACCTGAGACAGGACGTATTTGTAGGGCCCGTTCTGGAAATGAGACGTGTTGATGTGATTCAGCGCGGCCAAGCGGGGGGAGAGCCGCTCCCCGGCGGGCTGCTGCCGGCTCCCTGCATCCCGAAGCGGGAGTAGGTCCGGAGGGGCGTGGGAGCCAGCCCCTCTCCATGCCCCAAAGCAAGCAGACTGCCAGGAGGCTTGAGTGCCATTCCGGGAATTTCAGCTCTCCCTATCCCCAGCATGGGAATCTCCCAGGAAGGGGATCCTGCAGGATGGAGAGGTGAGAGCGACCCAGTGCCCCTGGGCTAACGCTTTGCCTGAGGGTTATTGTCACTCGTCGTCGCTCACACCCAGCCCTCCCCAGGGAGGGCCAAGCCGCTGCCTCCTCCTGCCCTTTTCCCCCGGGGCGAAGGGGCGCTCTCCTGCCTGCCCCGGAGGAAGGCCTGGTGGCCGTACGGTTAATCAGCGTCAATTCCAGACGCTGACTGAGTGTTTTTTCCTGATAACAAGACGTGTGTGAGTGTGTGTCGCTCGGGCGAATATCCTGTTCTAGGACACAGAAGCGGTGGGCCGCCGTGGCGGGGCTGGGGGGGGGG